GTTTATTCACACGTCACATACTACAGTGGGTAATGTTTTCAAGAAACATTGAACAGTGCTGCCACATATGACACAGGAAAAAAAGAAAAGACTCTGAACCCTTTCTTTGCCATTATATAAAAATAGTGTTGCTACAAAAGTATAAATTAGGCTTACTAATAAGACAACTCAGATCTGAAGCTAAATAGGAATCTGCTGCCAAAGTGCAATAAAAAAGACACAATTAATAGAATCAAACCCTTTTTTTGTTGCATTTTAGTAGAATATAAAAAGAAAATGGAAAAGGATGCAAGCAACACTAGTTTCTTAACCTGAATTGATAATAGACTATAATCAATTTAAGTTTGCATTCTTATAATTCCAATCTTTATTCCAGACTCAAGGTCCATATCGCACAAAAAGACAAAACACACATCAATAAATAAGATAAAAAGCTAAACACAAAACAGATAAAAACAAACAGATAAATACATAAAATCAGTCCAATCACAGCGAGCCACACATGCTCACCGTCTGTAGAGGCTATTGCGCCAATGTCTCCAAATCATGGAAGAGAACCGGGTAGAACTCTTCACAGGGTTGATTAAAATCGAAATAACATAATTGTCCGAGTCTACTAGGCGACACATGAATTTGTACATTCATTTTCTTAAAAGGGCGTGACAGGTAGGTACCCCCAAGTTAACAAACAGCTGGCTGGCACTGTGCCATCTTGGTACCCTCAGCAGCAACCGTAAAGCATCATTGTATGCAACTTTTAGTTTTTGCATGTTTCTAGCCTTGTAGTTACTCCACAGGTGAGCCGTGTACCATGGTGTACAGAAAGCTTTGAAAAGTGATACCTTGACATCTACAGGGCACTTGTGAAACTTACGCATTAATATGTTTGCCTGGGCATACAGTTTGCAGCGTTGTCTATGGATGTCTTTGTCATCTGTGAGATCATCAGAAATATAATGACCAAGGTACTTGATCTCACTGCACACAAGAAGAATGTTGCTACTGAGAATAAAATGAGGAAATACAGCCTTTTTATCCTCTTTACTTCGTACAATCATGATGCTACTCTTCTTGGCGTTATACTTAATATTAAAATCAATGCCATACTGGGAACAAGTCCTCAGAAGCTGTTGTAAGCCAGCACTGCACGGGGAAAAGATGATTAAATCATCTGCGTACATAAGGTGGTTGACAACAGTGGCACCAATGACACAGCCAGTTTTACACAAGTTCAGTTTCCTCGACAGATCATCCATGTACAGATTAAACAACAAAGGAGATCAAATCCCATCTTGCTTGACCCCATTACCAACATAAAAATGTTCAGACACAGTATTGCTCCACTTCACCTGCATAGTCTGATGTGGATACCAAAAGGCTAAGATCCTTATTATGTACTTGGGTATCCCTCTCTGGCACATTTTGTCAAATAATTTGTAATGATTCAGTCTATCAAATGCCTTGGAAGCATCAATAAAACACAGAAACATGGTGGAATTATGGCTTCTATATTTTGCTATAATGTCTTTTAAAGCAAAAATACACATATCTGCCATGTTTTCTTTTAAAACCGAACTGGTTGTCAGCTGTGGTAATATACCTTTCCAGCCTATCCAACAGAATTTTCTCCAACACTTTGGAGAGAATGCTAGCTAAAGCAATGGGTCAGTAATTATCAATGCCATTAATCTTCCCAGCTTTATCCTTGATGACTGGCACAAGTAGCACAGATAACATGGAATCTGGTAAGACACCATGATTAAGGAAACCAGTAAGACACAGAGCAAGAAGAGGAGCAAGCCTAAGACTGGCATGTTTTTAAGTGTTCAGCTGAGATGAGATCCGGGCCACAAGCTTTGTTATTTTCTAGATTCATTATAGTGTTGTAGACTTCCTCTGATCTAACTGTAACATTTTCAGTGGAGTCAACCTTTTCAACCACAAATGCATCACTCTTAACACAGTTGAACAACTCATAATAGTGTTGTCGCCACAGTTCTGCGATGCTGCCTGACCCACACACTCCTTCAATGGAAGACGGTAAGGGAGTCTTACAGCTGTTTATGACTTTGACCTCTTTCCAGAAATCAGAGCAACTATTGTTGCGCAGCTTTCTGGCAAGTGAGTCAGCCCTCATTGTGTCCTCTTTTTTTTTAATGTAGCGGACAGCATACTTATATTTGGCATTAGTGGACTGTTTATGTTCAAACAAAGACCCCTGTCTCGGCCTTCCTGATTCGGCCCAGAATTTAAAAGCATCTCTAGCAGCAGAGTGTAGCTCAGACACATGTTCATTCCATCCAGGTTTTATACTATGCTCCTTTTTCTTACTGTTGTAAAAACCCTTACTTGAGGCATTTAACACACCAATAATAAGATCATATGTAGAACATAGATCACTACCATGCTGCGCATTTTTACAGTTGGTGTCACTGCACAGCATTGCTTCTCTAGGAATTACAACCAAGTCTAATGATTTGTCAGAGAGTGAGGTATAGTGATTAATATCCTTCTCACTTAACTTTGACCAATCCAGCCTCCCTGTGTATGTGTTATTGTCATCAACAGATAGCACCGGAATATTTTCAACATTTAGGGTCAATACAAAAGGAATGTGATCTGTAGTGGCCAACTCATAACAAATGTCAATGTTGTCCAGAGAAGCATGTGCATCAGCTGTGCATATACAGTGATCTAGCCATGCTTCACTAATATATGTAAAGCTTTTCTCAGGTAAAAGAGATTTACTTGACAGTATGAGATTATTATCGTTACAAAAATGCAGTAAACATTTGCCAAACAGAGATTTATCATCCGAAATGTCAGCATTCAAGTCCCCCACTACATACACACAGGTTGTGGCATTATCCTTAATGTATGCGTTAACAAATGCCATTCTATTGCGATATTCATCTTCATTTTCATATGATTCATAAGGTGTGTAAATATTTACGATAATAAATGACCTATTTTCATACTTGATCTCTATACCAATGGCCCAGTCGACGTCCAATCTTACCACTGTAACCAAAGGATCATATTTACTGTTCCAGAGAATCGCCACTCCACCAGGTATCCTGCCATGGGCAATTTTATCACAGAGATCAGTCGTTGATTCTCCAACTCCATGAAAATTAGCATGTAGTGTATTCAGCCTTTCCAAATCTTGCTTAGGTAACCATGTCTCTTGTAAGCACAGAATATCACATTCCTCCAACAGTTTATCAACAACCAGCCGCCTCGCTTTATCACCAGCACTGTGCCCCACACGTAGGCCACGTGTGTTATATGACACCACCCGCATCCTATTGTTTATGTACTATCGTCATTTACATCAGCAGATGCAGAATTCCCGTGTTGTACAGTAGCGACCACATTGTTTGTAGTAGTGCTATCCCCCACAAGCACCCCACTAGCAGGCCGTCTTGGCTCATAATAGCGTCGGACATAGGTGCCAGCTGGCCACAGCTCTGGGTCATACATTTCTGCCACTTCCTTGCATTCGGCAGTGATCTTATACCATTTTGTACAATAATTATAATGAATAAGTTCAAACAAACTAAAACTTACAGCTGATTAATAACGGTATCTAACTTGAGTTTTTAAATATCAAAAACCTGTTGAAATGCTTCTGTTATTTTTACTGTCCCCCAAAAGCGCGTCGGCAGCCTCCAGGAATGCTTCTTTCACAACTTCGCCGTCTTTGAAAGACTTCATGTGTTTCGCAAGAACGTGACTGACACGATAAGATGCTCTGGTAGCAGCCTTGCTCTTGTTGTTGGGCCTGGTGGAAATGGACTGCTGTGCATTTAGCTGTCCTTTCAGGCCCCTCCCCTTTTGGAGCATAGGGCAGAATTAGGATGGAATTCCGTCTCGTAGCGTTTGTGCACTGTTTTGAAATGCCGCTCCTAAATGACCCTTCTTCGATAAAGCCACGCTCGCATTGCAGATGAGACAGATGGACTTTGAATTGGAATAAATACAAAAATAATCATCCTCCACTCGGAGTGAAAATTATATATTTTGGGCTTTTTTTGCTTCTGCCGTAATTGCGGTCTTGTGTGTGTGCGGACTGTCACTCCTGTTGACATGGACAACGTCAGCTAACTAGTGCCCACTGCCCAGCAGCCACGCCCCGACACATGGGGTCACGCCGGCCAATCACAAAGCGTTGATGCGTAAAGTGCATTATTCTGGCACAGGAAGATTATGTTATATGACATTAACGATAAAACAGAATATTGTTGTTCTATTTTTAGACACATCTAAACCGGTCGATCGCGTTGGGCACCCCTGGTCCAGACCAATCATCTATTTGGACTGGAAAACATGTCTTTGAAGTCATTGAAACTGAGTTAAAGTTGATATTTATTCAACGATTGCATAACTGCTGTGAATGGCTGTCACATAATGCTTATAGGAAAAGGATGGCAAACATATAGTGACTAAAGTGGTAGTGGCTGATATCTGAAAGTCCAGTCCTAAAGTCTGGGGAACCTCTTGCACTTCAAAGCTACAACCGAAGAAAAATGTCTTGGAGCAAGTTTGATTTGAAAGTATCTCCAACTCATGACTGAAAATATAGAAATGGAATCTGTGCTTGTGTCTACCCTTTTGAAGCAGGGAAGTGGGAGTGTGCAAGGTGGAAAATGTCAAGTCTGTGTAAGTGGCTGCATTGACATTCTCAGGAGACAAAATGGAGGATTTTATACTTCAAAACTGCCCGTCCTGCTCCATTTAATGCCAAGGAGATCTCTGCAGCTTTCATTCAGATATGGTGCAGACCAGTAGGGGGCACACTTACTTTGCAGCCTGTGTGTGGGGTGCCATGATCGTCACATGTAAAGTAATTATGAATCATTAATGCAAGCAAGCACACGTGTGTGATTGAAAGAGAATGTAGAAAAGACAAAAGGAGAAAAATATGCGTGTGGAGAATATTCTCCATAAATCCATCCGAGCATTACTCACTCACTCAGTTGAACCGTGGTCACACTTACAATCTGTGGTGGGGAAGCTCAAAGGGCTTCGAATGGACGGGGGGGTAGTCTTGTTGGTCCGTAGGAAAGGCAGCATGGTGGAGCTGGTTGGTGGGAACTCACCATTGGCTGGAAGAGAAATACAATTAATTTATTGATTGGTTGTGCTTTATTCCCTTCATGTGCAGCAAACACTACAGGACACAGTATAAGCACAGTGGCTGTAGACCTCTCAGTGGCACAGAACATGTGGAACAACCAACAGGGGTCACGCTTTCATTTGCACCACCGATGGCTATACAGAGGGAGTGGAATACATAACATGCGACTCCATCTCTACCTGTCTCCATCCCACCATAGGGTAGATGGTTCAGGCAGGGTGTTTTGCAGAGAATCTTTAGGCCTCCAACCTCATAGCCTTCCCAGGACAGAATGTATAAGCTTTCTGGTAGCTCCCCTCCTCAAACTATTCTAAAAGAGTTGTCTGCCAGGCAAACCAGCTTTTTTTTTTAAGTAGGGGACAATCACTTAGCCACTATAATGACTGTTGTGGGGTGGGGAAAAAGACATATCCTTATTTTAAGGTCGAGAAGCAGGAGTTCCCATGGTTGCCCGGGAAAATTGCTGAACAGATGCATTATTTTCTTTGATTGGGTCCATGCACTGCAATCAGTGGTTTAAAAGATTGCACTGAATGCTGTTAAAAGATCTACGGCCACATCTGATCAGGGACTGTAGAGCTACAGGGACAATCAATGCAACCCTGTCAGCTGAACATAACAAAATACTTGTTCCAGTACTTGAGAAAGGACTAAAATGACAAAATCAATGTCCAACAAGAGAATTACAACCACCTACAAGACAGAATACAGAACCTTCAATCCAAATTGTTATTGGCTAACAAAGATACGACAGTGCATACTGTACCCTTTTAACTTGTGTGCATACAATGTGACAACCTGGTCTACTATTAAAAAGGCCCTTTTATGCTTTTTAAAGGTTTTCCCTTTCCTGTAATGTGCTATATAGGTTTCTGTGCATGTAAATGGTCCTCAAGGGCTACAATCCCAAAGTTCCTCCCACACCCTGAAACGCCTCCATTGTTTACTTATGTAACATAGTGACATTACTATACAAAACTCTAGGGCTAGCTCTCCATCACATTGTACGATAGGCTAAGGGGCGGAACATCTCTAAGCGGTTGACCAATCACAACAGAGCCTGCCAGCTAACCAATCAGAGCAGACTGGGCTTTGGTTTCAGACAGAGGGTGAAAAGAGGTGCTGCAGCACAGGCAGTATGAGAAAAATAAAGAGCTTTTGGAACATTAAAGCATGGAGACATGTCACAGTAGAGGCACTACATACGGTAAATCATGTGACTTAATTTACATAGGTAGCTTAAGTTATGTAACAAATACTTATTTTTTAGTGTAGTTTAAATTTAAAACATCACCCATTTGTGTTTTAACTATCACTTTAATCTGAGAGAATACCTTTCCCTTAAACGCGATTGAGAATTCTAATTTGTTGTAAATCATTTTTATAAGACTGCTTGAATGCGAAATGTATTTTTTTCCCTCCATGGTAAAGGTTTCACCTTGTTATTTTAGGAAGCCGGATATGTTCAGTTCAGCTGCTATAAATGTGCCTGAGACTTCACACGACCTTTCTTTGTTTCCAAAGCGAGCCAATGTTCTTTGAAGAGTTTGTCCAGCATGTTGTTTCTTTGATGTTATATTCTGCAGCGAAAGCCCTCTGTGGCTCCGTTGCTACATGACCCTTGTTAGTTGCTATGAAAGCAGAAGATGTGAGATCATTCTGAAAGTCAGATAAGGTTTAGTGCGGTATATGGATCTGATAAGGCTGCCAGCTCGCAATGCTCTGACATCAGGAAAGGGCAGTGGTTCAGAACTTGACCAACTGCTATTCTGCTAGTCCTATGATTTATAACTTTAAGAACAAAGCTGAATATAGTGTACACCACCCAAAGAGGCTTTGCAGCATAGTCAACTGTAAAACAATAGGAATCACTGCTGTTTCAGCCCTACCGCCACAATGCTGTAGTCTATCAACACTAATGACGGCCTTTCCTAGTCATTTCATTGAACACTTTCAGAGTGCTCAGTGTAGATACTTTGGGCAGGCAAACAATGCATTGAGAGTACTTGTGTGACCCACATATTTAGCTCTGTTTCTGTTATTCAATTATAATAGAATGTTCAGAGGCAGATTACATGGTTTCGGGGCCTATTTACATTTTAAACGGTATGGGGAAATAAAAGTGTTCTAGTTGTACACAAGCTCGTCCTATAGAGCAGCAGGAAAGCATAGTTTGTTTACACTGTGGCAGCGTGATATTCTCCATAGGCCTGTCCTGGAAGGCAACAGCCGCAAAGGATAATTGAAGGTTTTATAATTTATTTTGCTCTAAGCCACACACAGTCCTCTAATAAAAAGCTGCAGCTCCAGATAACACCAACAAACCCATTGATGAACAGGTGGTGTTTCCAAACCTTGGAAAAGACTAACATGAGATGAATATGAAGCAAAAATCCAACGTGTCCTAATTGGGATGAGACAATGAGTTGTCCACATAGTGTCATGTGCCTCCTTGGTCAAAACAAATGATGCCTCCTATCCACGCCGTCATTCTGGTTTGTCAGGGGACGGACGCAACACTTTTCATCTTTATCTCTGTAATCATTTCACCACAAAAACACTCCCTCCTCTCCTCCCCTGCTCCCCTGTCCCTTTAGGCTGAAGGCTCAGCGTTTATGACAATATGGCTGGGGGCTCCCTCAACAGCTGAAAGGTTCGGAAAGCAACTGGCGGTACCACTTGGTCCGACAAAACCGGCTTTGAATTAGAGAAAACACACATTTTTGTTTTTGTATGTGCTTGATTTAAAAGTAAAGGTGGCCAGTTTTTACTAAACTTCTTCAGCTGTTGGTTTCTCTCATAGACTTTATATAGGAAGTAGTCACCATCAAATCAACCATTTGTTTTTGACAATGGTATAATAACACACTTTGAGGGTTTGAGTGTGGTTGCAACCTGTCATAAGATTACCCTATCCTAAAACAAATGCTGCTCTACTGTTTATTTTACTCATCATCATTCCAAAAACAACACCTTGTTGTATTGAAAAGTACTCAAAACCAGTAATTGAGATCATACACTTATTTTTAGGGATGCTCCGATCGAGATCGGCCGATACTCACTCTCTACCGATCGATCGGTGCTCTCTAAACATGCTGATCGCGAGAGCCGATCCATGACGTAAAATACATGACACTTTTCTCTGTGTGCGGCAGCAAAACAAGCTCGTCAAAATGGCTTCACCGGTCTGGCATTATTTTAAGGTGTCCGAAAAGACAGTAAAATAGCGGTATGCAACGTGTGTGTGAAGCAGAAATCCTGCAGCTCCGCCCGCTGTGACGGACCGGTAAGCGGAGCGAAACACACAAGAGTTAGACCTAACACACTTAGCTATTTTATCTACCTCTGGAACAAGCTAAACTAGTTATTATAAATATATTTATTCTTCACTGTCGGGTCACTCATTACTGGATCAGTGAGCTGCATGAAATACTGACAGGCTGTCAGGAGGGGGGAGAGGGGGGGGGGGGGGGGGGGGGGGAGAGAGGAAAAGAGAGCGCTTCCGCTCATTTCTCCCGTGTTATTATCCAAAGTGAATGTACACTTGAATAATGTACATCATTTGAATGTAATAATTAAGTTGATTGTTGTTTGTGGAAGCTCCAGTGAATGAGCCCCATTAACTGAGTTTTAAACATCACTTTAAATGGAAGATTTAAAGTGATGTTTAAATCTTCCATTTAGGCCCACTCGATCGGATCGGCGATCGGTATCGGCCGATACTAGGCTTGTTTGAGACGCGTAACGCGTTCCATGGGTTGCGGCCAAGCCCCCAGGAAGTGCGCCGGACTCAGATGAAAATATTCGTGGTGGCCAAACGGCGGTACTGCACAGGTTGCCAGGCCCGGAAACACTTTTCCCCATTGACTTACATGGGGAAAGAGTGGTCTGTAACTCGTTGGATAATTTTTTTTTTAACTAAATAAACTACCCAGTATGAACACTTGTATAGCCCTTATTAAAAACATTTGTTCCTCAAGTTGTAAAAATGTGCTAATAACGTTATTCTGAGAGTTATTTCCCTCTGCATTATGAACAAGCATCTAACCCACGGGACCGCGCCGCCCGGCACCTTCATGTTACGTGTTCAGCACTACATACGTTTATCTTTACCCATGGATGCACAATAACAACGGACCCATATCGCTGCCAGTCCACGGAGCTGTAATAATGGATATATTGCACATGTTTGCTGTAATTCATCATTTGTAAAATAGTATACTACATGGGCTGTATGATTAAATCTTGTAGCCTACCGTAAATGTTGTATTAAATAAAGTTAATATTACGTTAGATTAACGTCCCTGTAGCTCCTTATTGCACTAAGAAGCTTATTGCACTGTGTGTGTATATATATACAGTGCAATAATTATGTCATGCTAAATGAAGCTCTGTTGCTTGGATATCACTAGATCTTGTTACAACGTAATATAAGTAGCCTACATAACGATTGATGTGTACATTAGCATCATTACTAGCTAGCCGCTAGCTGCTAACTGCCGCTAACAACAATTCATTACCATGCTGTTACGTGTACGCAAATTGACGTGCTTGATATGAACGAACATTTTGGTTAAAGTTGCGCATGCGCTATGGGCGCACATACGGGTACTTCTCAGGCATGCTGGGTAATCTGTGACGTTTCACTCTCTCAAAAGTTGGGCCATTTTATCATCATGCGCTAATGAGCAACTCTCATAGGAATGAATGAGGCCCCGCCTCCCACGCTGTATCCAGTTCTTATTATACATCCATGGTTGCGGCCTTTATATATACAGTCTATGGTTGCGGCTCGCCTCGAAAGTAGACGAGAATAGTCGATCGCAGCCGGGGGAGGTCTCAAAAAGCTCGCCTGAAGTCGGGCTTCTTCTTCTTCTTCTTCTTCTTCTTCTTCTTCTTCTTCTTCTTCTTCTTCTTCTTCTTCTTCTTCTTCTTCTTCTTCTTCTTCTTCTTCTTCTTCTTCTTCTT